CCATAAACTCTTAATATAATGCCTGGCTCATATTAAGTTCCCATTAATGATGTTAATTTTTATTGGTATATTTATCTAATTCAGTATAACAAATATTTATTATTATAACTATTAGCTGTGAAGAATTGTTTAGGAAATGAGTACATATTCATATCTACACATTAAACATTCCTTACTAAACACCAGCTCCTTTACCATAGACTCTTCTAACTATGCTCATTGCAGAGGTAATTTCTCAAACAAATTAGTCGTGTAACTTGTTTCTTGATAACAGCACAGGGAGTTGAGATTGCCAAAATCAACAGTGTATTTCAAAGGCTTCCAGGTTCTCTGTAACAAAGGCTGAGTAAGTCATGACTCATAATAGGGAAACTTCTATTTGAGGGCCTATTATCTCTCTTCATATCTGGGGTGTGGGAAAGACTGGTAGCAGTGGGCAGTGGGCAACAGGCAGGGCGGAGTTCTGTTCTGTTTCAGGGCCACTAAGTGAGAGCAAGGCACAGAATGGGAGTTCTCCTAGAGCAGTGCTATCTTTCTTTATTAAAGACAGTCCCCAGACTCATGTGCAGTGGTTTGAAAACATTTTTAGCACAATAGAGCTAATGTGAGAATTTCTCATGGGTTCCTTTATCTAAGGTTGAGTCAGCCATGCCTCACCACTGGGGGGTAAACTACGCTGAACCACTATGGGATGCTTGCTGCTCCAGTTTGCATGCTCTGTTTATTTATGGGGGGTATAGGGACTGTGTGAGGAAGAGGAGAGAATAAGTTTTAAAGGCTAAGTTTGATTTTGAACATCATGTATTAAAAGAGAATGGTTTTCCAGTTCACTTGAGAAGTCTAAAGTGTTAGCAACAGGTACTGTTGTATGGCCTTGAGCAATGCCTTCCTTAATATTTCAACAGTACAATTTTGTTTTAAAAGAGTGCTACTATCTATATAGTGAATTTGTCATAAAAAATTACATGCCAAGTGAGAAAAAGAATTCTTGGTCAACACAGTAGGCAATCAAAACAGGAAGAGACAAGAAAAGAAGTTTAGTGAGTTTCTGTTAACTAAATTCCGATTGTATTTAGGACAATGATCACAAAAATCACAAATCATCCTGTTAATCGTCAATTGCCTGGAGCAGGCCCCATTAACGTCTCCTTCATCCTAGTCCTGAGATTATATTCAAGGCTCTTTAGGAGAATGAGACCCATCATTGTTACTGGTATTTGGCATATTGGGTATGCCACAGGGAGTTTGCCAGACTCTGCCGTGTGGGCAGGCTACATTCGATAGCCTGCCAGTTTGTCCAAAGTAGGAATGAGATAATAAGATGTCATAATAAGATGTCGCACGGTTCTGGGAGCTGGTTTTTATAGTCTCTGAGTCTTGGCCGTTGATGGGATTACATGGCGCCAGGGGGCCAGTTGGTGGGTGTGACCCCCGCCTACTGGAATTTGGAGGATCTGGGTGGAGGATGCTCGGCCCCAATCCGAGTAGGCTTGGAGATCTCGGCCCCGGAACCCGCGTGACTTTGTCCCTCTGCCAGTACTTTCATGTGTGCGGAGAGTGGTCTCAGCATGGTGGTGGCTGGTCCTGGAGGTCTTTGGCTGCCGGAGCCCTGGCCGGGACAGGGAGGAAAGCTCAACCCACTCCCCTCCAAGGGGCCCCGGCGGCGAGGACAGTCAGGTGCGGGGGCAGGAGACTGCACTGTTCTTTATCTCTTCAATTACTCAAAATAGGTGAAGGACTTGATGACACCTGACTGTGGAGTCCTCCGTGGACCGTCTCGGATGGACACAGCTTCCATGACCTGAGGATGCTGTCCCCTGCACAGTGAGAGGCTCAGACGAGCAGCGTCCAGCCTGGCAGGAATGGAGGCACTGAACAACGACGAAGCTCTGAAAGGAGGCCAGAATTGGGGTTTCCCCACCTTCTTCAGGGAGGTCAGGCCGGGATCTTATCGAAGTACTGAAGAGAACAAGAGGACAATGATAAAACATAATTTATATTTCAAAGACTCTTTTGAGAGTGATATATTCACCATTCATAATTATTGCAGAAACACTCCACCCCCACCCCAAACTAACTTCTATACTTACCAAATGCTAAGAAGATATTGGAAAGGAAAAGGGCAGAGCAGGAGGAATAAACAAAGTAACCTGTTTGGTGGGGACATACCTACCACTGGAATTTGAAGGTATGTGTGATGAGTTTTATATACATATAGAGGATCAGAGTGAATCCTCTGAAATCCCATAATATTGTAAACCAATGAAAAATCAATGGAGAGTAAATAATAATAATCACCACTAGGACAAGAACTGTTTCAAGTAAATCAGAAGACATATTAACTCGAATTATAATTATGTTGCTTTATTGGTGAGGTTAAAGAGAAGCAGTTGAACTCCTTATCTCTTGACATCTTAATTTTGAATTAATTTTGATTTTTTATTGTTGTTAGTAAGAAAGCTTAAATTTTCTTTTGGCATTCAACAATATTTGTTTTAATCATGGGACCATGTACACCATATAGTTTGTGGTAAGTGGTAGAGTAGACAAAGAAAAGTATAAGCCCAGTTCCCTCCTCTATTATATTAACATTTTCCCATAAGCTGAAGAAAATCTACTTATCTAAGCAGTCTCTACAGTGTTAGAACTCATAACAATACTGCACAAAGACATAAATGTACACCTTACCACAAAAGCATTCCTGGTGTTGATGGGCTAAGAAGGGGGAAGTCTTTCATAATTTTGCTTTAATCCTCTGATTAAAATTTTATGATATATAAAGCATTTGTTCCTTCCCCTTTTGTTGTTGTTTAATATAAATGTACTTTTGTTATGTCATATCATTTATTATTATAAGTATAATTTTATATTTAGCATATTATATATTTATTATATTACAGCATATATCGTGTTATAGTATAATATGTTTATTATATTATGAATATTATAATAAAACATAATAATATAATAAAGTTATGTTTTGTTATTATTAAAAGACTGACTAAACTTGGAGGTGGTAGAATGTGGTTATACATTCTGCTTTAAATTTCTGTTTGATATGATACCAATAGATTGAGTATTTACCCGAGGATGTTTTTAAAATTTCAGGATAAAAAGAAATTTGACACTTAAAATACTATTTTAGGGGTTGGAGCAATAGCACAGCGGTTAGGGCGTTTGCCTTGCACGCGGCCAACCTGGGTTTGATTCCCAGCATCCCATATAGTCTCCTGAGCACTGCCAGGGGTAATTCCTGAGTACAGAGCCAGGAGTAACCCTTGTGCATCACCGGGTGTGACCCAAAAAGAAAAAAAAGATACTATTTTATTTTATAAAATTCCAATTTTAGAGAGTAGGGTAAGGTTGTGCAATATCTGACTGCTCAGGACTTATGCCTGGGTCTGTAATCAAGGATTAGTCCTAGAGGTATTAAAGGTACCAAATGCAGTGGTGGGGATTGAACCAGGACTGTTGGCAAACAAGACAAATGTCCTAACCCCTGTGTACTAACTCCCTAGCCCCTGCACAAAATATACAAGAAGAATTACATCAAGGTATGAATGAAAAATTTGGCATTGCTTTTTTCAAATACTGCCTTAGCTTTTGTGTTAAGCATTGATCTTTCAAAGAAATCCAAGATAAGCATTTTAGCCCTTGATCCAAAAAATTGTCTGGGTTCTGCCATCCTTGTTCTTGCAAAGATATCTGGAAGGAGATTCAGACCTTTAACATCAAATGGCTGCTTGCTTCCCTGACACCTGGCAAGTAGCTCATGAAAGAGCATCTTTAATTTTTACTTCATGCATTCAATAGGAGCTTCTTAAATTCCTCTGTCTTACAGCCAGATGCTAGGGACTTAGGTATGGTCACTACCATCCCAAGTTTAAAGCCCAGTGGGATAACATCACTAGAAAGGTTGTTACATCATCGAATTAGTAATAATAATAGAGGAAGCTCAAGGACTATGGGGAAGTGTAGTCTAGAGATCAGGAAAAACTTTTTAGCATTTGACTTCATAAATAGAGTGTGTGTGAGAGATCATTGTATCATTGTATACAGTAAATGATATATAATTGTAAATGACATACAAGTAGCTGAACAACTTGTGAAGAATGTGAAGAGAGTGTTTGGTGTGAGGGTTTGAATATAAACTAGACTGGCTAGAATAATGATGCTATCTCTATATGTGACTGGAGAAGTGAGCAGTGGTTAAGCTTGAAAGACTCTAACACTCATATTAAGAGCTTATATTTTATCCAGTGCATAGCTGAGGAGCCAAAGAGAGGTTTTACATAGAAGATTAACATAGTCAGATATTATTTAACAGATATTACTTATTTCGGGCTAGAGTGATAGCACAGAGGTAGGGCGTTTGCCTTGCACGCAGCCAGCCTGGCCGAGCTGGGTTGGATTCCTCTGCCCCTCTCGGAGAGCCTGGAAAGCTACCGAGATTATCTCGCCCACATGGCAAAGCCTGGCAAGATACCCGTGAGGTATTCAATATGCTAAACACAGTAACAACAAGTCTCAAAAAAAAATGGAGACGTTACTGGGCCCGCTAGAGCAAAATTGATGAACAACGGAAGGACAGTGGACAGTGACATTACTTATTTAGACGAACCCATTCCAGGGCTCCCTGCCCTTCACAAAGAAAAGAGAATTTATTTAGACAATGAGCACAGTAAGAGATATATCAAGCTTAAAGTTTGTTTTTTTCTGAGGACATCTCACTATATATTCCAGACCACAGTCCTCAGGCCAGGTTAGTCTTCCTAACCCCAGAAGGGTCCTTATTCTGTCACAGTTTTTTGGGAACACCTACAGGGATGATTAGAGATCTCCCCCAAAACCTCCATCCCTCCTGTCCCACCGAGAGCACGGCAAGCTACCAAGTATCCGTCCGCACAGCAGAGCCTGGCAGACTACTCATGATGTACTAAATATGCCAACAACAGTAGTAAAAATGGGTCTCATTTTCCTAACCCTGAAGGAGTTTCCTGATGAGTTGGGAAGAACGAGAGGGCTTGTACAAAGCAGACGGTGCACAAGTCAACAGATGGGAAGGCACCCTGCAAGCAGCTGGCCACCAAGTCGGCCGCAAGAGTGGGCCTGCCACGGGTGGCATGAAGAAGCTGTACCGCATTGCTAACCAGGCCAACACCATGGTCCTACACGAGGTCTGCTGCTACCAGAAGTCCACTGGCTGGTGCATGAGATGGCACAGGACTTCAAGACCAACCTGTGCTTCCAGAGCTTGGCCGTCATGGCACTGCAGGAGGCATGCGAGGCCTACCTTCGAGAATTCCAACTTTTGCACCATCCATGCCAAATGCGTCACCATTTTGCCCAAGGATTTCCATCTGGCATGCCACATCCATTGAGAGAGGGCATAAAGTTTCCAATGCTAAAATTTCAGGGCTGGACAAATGGAGATGTTACTGGCACCTGCTCTAGCAAGTCATGATTAACAGGATGACAGTGCTACAGTGCAGTGCTACTTATTTAGACAGATTTTATTTAAACAGATATTATTTAACATATATTATTCTAACTTCTGGAGCGATAGCACAGCAGGTAGGGCGTTTGCTTTGCACGCAGCTAACATGGCTGACTCGACTTCGATTCCTCTGCCCTCTCGGAGAGCCTGGCAAGCTACGGAGAGTATCTCGCCCACACGGCAAAGCCTGGCAAGCTCCCCGTGACGTATTCGATATGCCAGACACAGTAACAAGTCTCACAATGTTACTGGGCCCGCTCGAGCAAATCGATGAATAATGGGAGGACAGTGACATTGACATTCTAACTTCTAACTTATTCTAATGTCTAGAAAGCAATTAAACAATGACACAATGCTGAAGATTAAAATTAATAGTTATTTTTACAAAGTAAAGTAAAGTAAGTAAAGGCCCTCCCGTTGATCATCAATTTGCTCGAGTGGGCCCAGTAACGTCTCCATTGGGGACTTTGTTGTTACAAGTGTTGGTGGACATGAGAAATTTAGAAGGAGTCTTATAAGACATGAGAGACAATTTGACTTAGAGAATGAAGTAAAAAATATCTAGGTTTTTGGTGTAGGAACCTGAGTTGGTGTCAATGCCCTTCAATAACGTAAAACTACAGAAGAAAAAGAGATGGGTTTTGTAGGATAGTTTTACAATGTTATGTTTTCAATAGGTTGAGCTTAATGTACCCCTGATATGTTAAAGTAGAAATGTCAGATGGAAAGTTGATTGTCTGGGTCAGGATCTCAGGAAACACACACACACACACACACACACACACACAAACACACACACACAGCACCTATTAAAAATTCTGGTATTGTTAGTATATAAGTCGCCTTGGAAGACTCATGAGAAAAAGGAGAAAAGTAGAGGAAAGTAGATGAAAAAGAGGAGTAAAGATAGACTTTTAAAAGATAGCATTGTGTAAAGAAGGGCTGCTCTTTAGCTTCTCTGGCAAGAAAAAGAGGTTTCAAAAGGCTTCAGGAAACGACAGGCAGCATGTGGCCACAATCTAACATGTGATGATAAGATACAGTGTCTGATATTATGTTCTGGGCCCATATCAGTCAATATTATCTAAATATAGGGTTAACGCTAGATTCAAGCTCAAGAAAAACATCTCTTGTGCTTCCCTAGATGTGAAGAGGACTCACAGCCCGACTATCTCGCTAATGTTATTACAGTTTCTTTGCTTTTCCTTCCCTTCTTTGGTAATGCTCTCTAGCCAAGACATGCTTCCCTGGTAACATGCCAGGCATGAACGGCTTTAAGACTGCCTTCATTTCATTCTTAGATAACATTCTCCCTCATATTATAGAAAAGGAAGTTTTGTGATAGGGGTAGTTGGAAAATAAAGTTTCTGCTTACTCTAACCAAGAACTATAATTAGAAAAGCCAGAAATACCATAAAAGGAATAACTTGACTTTTTTTTGTCAAGAATATTATAAAATTTATATTTAGGAACACAAAGTTCCTGGTAAAGTTTTTTAAATATACAATAACAATGAAATAAAAGGTGCTGTGTGTGTGTGTGTGTGTGTGTGTGTGTGTGTGTGTGTGTTTCTACTCTGTACCACATCCACTTTCATATCCTGTCTCTTCATCCTAAGACAGTTTTAAAATTGGGGCTGGAGTGATAGTACAGCAGGTAGGGCATTTGCCTTGCACACAGTCGACCTGGGTTTGATTCCTAGCATCCCATATGGTCCCCCGAGCACTGCCAGAAGTAATTCCTGAGTGCAGAGTGAGGAGTAACCCCTTTGCATTGCCGGGTGTGACCCAAAAAGAAAAAAGAAATAGAATCATGATGTGTTAAATCTCAGAGACCATCACTAACTCAAGCTTTTCTTTTCAGGGTTCCTTGTTACCATTACAGATGAGGATTTTCAGAGGGTTGGAATGATGACACATAGGATTTAAGTGTGTATGTTTCAGTATATTTAACTATAATGTCTCCAATTAAAGAAATTGATTACATTAAGATCACATATTCTTTAAATTAATTATTTGCATTAGAATCAAGTGTGATACAGCCTTTGGTAAATTATTTAGCCTTTAAATTTCTTCCTTTCTGTATCTATCAAATCAGTTAATTACAGTAAATATTCATAGTTATCAGTGGGAAATTCTCTGTAGGTGTCTCTTGTTTCTACTTATCGTTCAAGTCTTGATAATTTTTTGAGAGGTAGGCGCACCCTGTGGTGCTCAGGGCTTAATTTTGGGTCTGCATCCAAGGACCACTCATGGTGGGGCTCAGGGGACCAAATGTGGTTTGAACCCAGATCCTGTATGCAAGGCAAGTGCCCTACCTGCTCTATTATCCCTAAAGTTCAGCTAGACTCTAAAGATATTTGTATAGGCAACTATCTTGAAAGACAGAAAATAATCTGCCTTCACAGTAAAATGAAAGAATGATTTCCTCTAAAGGTATTACTGCCTGTTTTTAAAGATTTGGGTTTCATAATATCAGATTTCTGGTAGCTGGACCTACTCATCACCTGGCTCTCAAAGAACTATGTAAATCCTATGACTATGGCTGCTCCTAGGTATTTTGCAATAGAATACTTTGTCTTTGATTTGTGGCAATATCCAAGCAATTATGACATGCTAAAATATGAACTTCTGAGTAAAATAGATGCTCAGACTCTTCATGGTTCTTGATCACATATTTCTGTAAGAAATAATTAAAGCAAATAAACATAAACTGCTTAGAAGTGCATCTGTAATGTAAAGATTAGCAAATGAGTCAATACTGGCTGTTAATGCTATTACGTAGCTGTACTGGTCAAACACACAGAGTTTACTAAAACAAATCTGCAAATCTGGAACTAATCTAGATCTGTAAAACTTTAGTCTCATGTTTGCTTTATCTTCACATTCCACCAATATTTTCCATCATATTTTCTACACATTTAAGTTGCAATTGATCATCAATTTGCTCGAGCGGGTCCAGTAACGTCTCCATTGGAGACTTTGTTGTTACTGTGTCTGGCATATCGAATACTCTCGGTACCTTGCCGGGCTCTCCGAGAGGGGCGGAGGAATCGAACTCGGGTCGGCCATGTTGGTCGCTTGTAAGGCAAACGCCCTACCGCTGTGCTATCGCTCCAGCCCAAGTTGCAATTAATATTTAAAATTAACATAATTCAAAAGAAAACAAAAAATTATATCAATCCATTTGATAAATAAAATTATCATGAAAGAGGCAATAAATCTGGAAATACCAGACTATAACTAAAGCATTAAAGTGTTCATTTAGTATCAATATTGCAAACCACAATGTCCAAAGAGGGGGGAGAGAGAGAGACAGACAGACAGACAGACAGAGACAAAGAGAGAAGAGAGAGAGACAGATACAGAGACAGAAAGAGAAGAGAGAGAAAGAGAGTGAGAGAGAGAGAGAGAAGAGCCTGCCATAGAAGAAAGCTGGAGGTGGGGGGTGGGAGAGTGATGAGAGGGACCTGGGAACAATGGTACTGGGAAATATACACTGGTGGAAGGATGGGTGTTGGAATACTCTATGACTAAAATCCAATCATGAACAGCTTTGTAATGTTCTGTCTCAGTGATTCAATAAAAAAAAAATTTAAAAAAATAAAGAGTGGCCAAATACAGAATAATAGAAAACACAGGAAAAAAATTGCTCAGAAATGCCTTAGGAGCAAAAAATTATGAAGTTAATTTTCTAACTACAAACATATTTTATGTCAATTTTTAGTATGTCTTCAAAAAATTGTAAGAGGAAGAACATCAGGTAAGATGCTAGCCTGGAATGTGACCCCAGTAACAGAAATGGTCCTCAGTACATGCCAGGAGTAATCTCTGAATGCAGAAGTAGGACTAAGCATTGAGCAAAATTGAGTGTGGTTTCCAAACAAAAGAAAATATGTGTGCTTTTAACACTGTAATTTATTTACTTTTTTTAAATTATTTTTTTATTAGTGAAACACCATGAGGTACGGTTATAGATTTACAAATTTTTGTGCTTGGGTTTCAGTTATACAATGATCAAGTACCCATCTCTCCACTAGCGCCCCTCCTCCACCACCACGGGTCCCAGCATCCCTCCAACCCCCTATCCCCCCATCCCACCCTGCCTCTGTGGCAGGACATTCCCTTTTGTTCTCTCTCTCTCTCCTTTTGGGTCCTGTAGTTTGCAAGAGGGACATTGAGTGGCAATCATGTTTGGTCTATAGTCTATTTTCAGCATGCTTCTCCCATCCTGGGAGGATCCTCCCAACACCCTTTATTTGGTGCTTCCTTCTCTATCTGAGCCCCCTTTTCCCCTAGCATGTGTGGCTGGCCTCCAAGTCATGGAGCAAAATTCCTGGTACTAATCTCGGCCACTCCTGGGTGTTAGTCTCCCATTTTGTTACTTTATGTTCCCCAGATGAACACAATCTTTCTGTGTCTATCCGCTCTTTCTGACTCATTTCGCTTAACATGATACTTTCCATGTAGTACCACTTGTATGTAAATTTCATGACTTCATCTTTTCTAACCGCTACATAGTATCCATTGTGTAAATGTACCAAAGTTTCTTTAACCAGTCATCTGTTCTCCGGCACTCAGGTTTTTTCCAGATTCTGGCTATTGTAAAGAGTGCTGCAATGAACAAACAAGTGCAGATGTCACTTTAACTATACTTTTTTGCCTCTCTGGGATATATTCCCAGGAGTGGTATTGCTGGGTCAAATGGGAGATCAAATTCTGATTTTTTGAGAATCGTCCATACTGTTTTTCAAAAGGGTTGGACCAGTCGGCATTCCCACCAGCAGTAAAGGAGGGTCCCTTTCTCGCCACATCCGTGTCAGCACCGGTTGCTTTTGTTCTTTTGGATGTGGGCCAGTCTCTGTGGTGTGAAATGATATCTCATTGTTGTTTTGATCTGCATCTCCCTGATGATTAGTGATGTAAAGCATTTTCTCATGTGCCTTTTAGCCATTCGGATTTCTTCTTTGCTAAATTTCTGTTCATTTCCTCGCCCCATTTTTTGATGGGGTTTGGTGTTTTCTTCTTGTGGAGTTCAACCAGTACCTTGTAGATCCTTGATATCAACCCCTTGTCAGATGTGTATTCGGTGAATATTCTTTCCCATTCTATAGACTGTCTTTGTATTTTGGTCACTGTTTCTTTGGAGGTGCAGAAGCTTTTTAGTTTAAGATAGTCCCATTTATCTATCTCTGTTTTCACTTGCTTGGCCAGTGGCGTGGCATCTTTGAAGATACCATTAACTTCAATGTCATGGAGGATTTTGTCAATTTTGTCTTCAATGAACTTTATGGATTCTGGTCTGATGTTGAGGTCATAAATCCATTTTGATCTTACTTTTGTGCATGGTGTTAGGCAGAAATCTGAGCTCACTTTATTGTTTAGTTTATTTACTTTTTGTTCTTTATTTACTTTTTGTTCAGGCCTTAAAGAAAATACACTATGTCTTTAAATATATCTATATCTATATATAACTATGAGATACAATTACAAAGCTTTCATGATGGATGGATTTCAGTCATACAATGATCGAACACCCATCCCTCCACCACTGTATATTTTCCACCACCAATGTTGCCAGTGTCCCTCCTGCCACCCTCAAACCACCTCTTCCCCTATCTCTGTGGCAGACATTTTCCTTTATATTCTCTCTCTAATTTGGGAATTATGGTTTGCAATGCCGAAAGGCCATCATGTTTGATCCTTTGTCTACTCTTCTGACACATCTTCTGTCCTGAGCGATTCCTCCTTCATTGACTTAGTGGTCTTTTATATGAATCGTCTTCTCCCCCAGCACATGAAATAGGCTTCCAATCTTCCAACACGCTAGTAAGATCTCATAGATCAAAGTGAACTAAAATCTACATTAAATCCAAGTTATATTGAATTTAACCTTAATAGTTAGATGAAACAATAATAAACTAAATACTAAAAGTACTCATTAAGAATCATGGCTCATAAATTTCTTCAATAAGCTACTCATAGTTTCTAACTACATGTCATTTGGAATGTGAACATTTTTTAAAAATGAAATTATCTTCTTGAAGTTTTCAGAAAGCAAAATTTTATAAATGAGTCTTTTCTGTGCCATTAAAGATTATATTTTTACTAGATGAACAGCTTTATATGATGGTAATAAGTTATACAATGATAATAAGCACTTACACATTTCCTCTAATTTCCCTCTAATTCTCTCTTTTACTACTCACATGCTCAAATAGCATCATGTTTTCAACTTTGAGAATTTTAAGATCAATGTGTGACTAATTTTTGGGTTGCAATGTTTCTAAGAATTTCAAAGTCTTTTTAATTAGTGGCTACTCAGTTTATTTTTTTCCTTTCTGATTCACTTAGATATTCAGCTCTTTAATAACACTGGGATGGAGATTTCTCAAAATAAGTTGGACACAGCTCTCATATGACCTAGTGATTCTATTTCTTGTTTCTATCCCCCCAAAGACAAAAACATTTATTCAATAAGTTTTTTGAATGGTTAGTTGAAAAAACTTGAAAATAAAGGTCTTTGAAGTATTTAGCACAATAGCCTGCATATGGAAACAATCGATATGCCCAACACAGATGAGTAGACAATAAACACACACACACATAGATTCATATATATATATACGCACATGCCAAAATATGTATATATACACACACATATATATGCATGCACACACATTCACACACATAGTGGAATACTACGCAATTACAAGGAATGATGAAATCACCCAATCTACTGTATCTTAGGTGGAACTGGTAGATTTCATGTTAAGTGAAGCAAATCAAAAGGACAAGGACAAATAACAGATTTTCTCACTAATCTGTGGGATATAGAATAATATGATAAAGGAGTGGAAGGAATTTAATGTCATAAAACCCTTGGTCCCAAACTGCAGAAATTAAAATGCCAAAAAGGAGACAAAATAAAGGGAGCAAGTGAGAGAGGTGGTCTGTTGGTAACATAGGGGCAAAGATCCAAGGTCTTTGACTCATCTAAGATATTGAGGCAAGGGATCTGAATATATTTAAACTATCCTAATACTTCAACTTTAGGAGGGGAGTGGGGGTGGAGGTAAGATTGTGAGAGACAATCACAAAGCTGTTCATGATTAGGTTTCAGTCATACAGTGCTCCAATATTTATCCTTCCACCAGTGTACATTTCCTCCCATCAATGTCCCCAGTTTCCCTCCCATAATCCTCCTTCCATAACTACCTCACCTGCCTCAATGTCAGACACATTTATTCTTTTCTCTCTGTCTCTCTCTGTCTCTGTCTGTCTGTCCGTCTCTCTCCTTTTGTGCATTATGGTTTGCAATACAGGTATCAAGAGGTCATCATGATTGTTCAGGGTGTTCAGTATTTATTTTTTAAGAAGATACAGTGGAGTAGCTTTTTATAACTGGATGGTGGTTTTGGGATATGGATGTGACTCCCAGGGAAATGGGGGGAGGTAACCCATCATGACCCAGAGAAAGCTTGGAGATTATAGTCACAAAACCCATATGTTCGAATTTTTAGCAGATTAATATCGTGTTGGGGTCCATCCCAAGAATGGTGGAGTCAGGTCCGGGGTCATGATGGTAATTTTGAATTGTGGAGCAAGTGGTTGCCAGGGTCTATGCTGGACAGGCACTGGCCTGACCCCTCCCCCCAAATCTACCCTAGGTTTAGTGTTATTTGGGTCTGAGATTAATTGCAGCCTTTGATCTCTTTCAAGATTTATTTATGGCTTTCTGAAGAAAGACTGATAAATGGGCTTGTATAGCTGAGTCAGAGGTGGTTTGTGGGCATGGTTCCTGCATACCTAACTGTTGGCAGTTTAATTTCTCAGGAAACTTGGCCCCGAGTTTGTTGGAGTCTGGCCAGAGGCACGGCAGCAGTTTTGGGTTATCAGGAAGCCTGAAGGCACCATCAGGCTGCTGATGCACTCAGCCTGCAGGTACAGTTGATCTGCTGGCGGTGCCACAACCTCCATGCTGGTGATGACAGCAGCAGTGGTCCCTGGCAGGGAATAGGACCCTGGTATCCTATACGGTACCCTGAACAGCACTACCAGAGGTAATTCCTGGTGCAGAGCCAGGAGTTACCCCTGAGCATCACCAGGTGAACCCAAAAAGATTTCTGAGTTCAGAGCAAGGAGTCACCACTGGGCATTGCTGGGTGTGACCTCCTTTCCCCCCAAAAGGGAAGAAGAAATAGAGAGTTCTATGAAGAGGATATACATGTGACCATTAAGCATATGGAAAAGTGCTTATTATCATGTAGTATCAGGGAAACATAAATCAAAACAACAATGAGGTAGTGTCTCACACCTGTGAGAATAGTATATGTCCAAAAACCTAAAAACAAATATGGGCAGACTGTAGTCTGCTGATCCAGCCTGTATGATATATGATGCCAGGGTTTCTCAAAAAAAAAAGTAAGAATAGTGCTCTCATTCGGCCCAGCTATCCCATATCTTGGCAAACACCTGCTCCCCCGCGGCCCCAAATACAAAGAAATTACCTTGAAAAGATACATGTTTATTGCAGCTTTTAGTACTTTAGTCAGGACATGGAAGCAATCCTAACGTTTGACTACAGATGAATGGGTGGTTTTGTTATATAGACAGAATGGAATATTATGCAGCCACTAGAAATACTAGTCACACAGTTCATAGCAACTAGGATGGCATTGGAGGGTATCATGCTGAACAAAAAAAAATATAAAATAGCCTCACTCATATGTGGCAATGCACTTCACTCTCCTCCTGTCGTTCATCCATTTGCTCGAGTGGGCCCAGTAATGTCTCCATCCTGAGACTTGTTGTTACTGTGTTTGGCATATTGAATATGTCATGGGTCACTTGCCAGGCTTTTCTGTGCGGGTGAGATACTCTTGGTAGCTTGCTGGGCTTTCCGAGAGGGGCAGAGAAATCAAACCCGGCTCGGCTGGGCTGGCTGCACGCAAGGCAAATGCCCTACTGCTGTGCTATCACTAAAGAGAAAAATCAAGACTATGGACAATATCAATTGATAGTAAGTTTTGGAAACTGGAATACAGATGTGAGAATGTTTTTCTATTTTAGAAGGAAGGGAACTGGTTGACTGAAGTGACATGGGAACATAAGTGGAAGGTCTGGAGCAATTAGGTGGTGTTAAGGAAGGTAACAGTATGAACTAAAGCCATAAATGTCAATGAGCAAATAGTGTGTGTGGAGGGGTGGAGGGTGGGGGGATAGAAAGAAACATTAGAATGGAAGAGACAGAGGGATGGGTAAAAGGTAAAATTACTACACACCCCACCACCTAAGTCTCTACAGTGGTAGGGTGTGTAGTAATTTTACACATCAACACCATGATTTTTTTTTTGCTTTTTTTGGGTTACACCCAATGACGATCAGGGGTTACTCCTGGATCTGCACTCAGGAATTGCTCCAATGGTTCTTAGCAAACCACATGGAATTTCAGGGATCAAACGCAGGTAGCCGTGCGCAAGGCAAATGCCCTACCTGCTGTGTATCACTTTGACCCAATATCTGAAACTTGAACAGTGTTGTAACCCTATTCTTCTAAACTATCATAAATTAATTAATTAATTTAAATGGTATTTTTAAAAATAAAGAAGTAAGACTGGTCAAAGCACAAAGTGAAATAGTAATGTGTTGGCAGTTCATTCTACCAATAGAAGGATTGTGTGAAAGTGATTATCTCCAGATTAAGTGAAGCATTTTTTTGTTCAATGTGGCTTTGAGCTTTGGACATCTTAGGAAGGAGTCTTTAAACCCATGTGTAGTTTCAATTCATGCAAAAACTCCATAATTCAATTTATATATTTGTAAGAGCAAATTAAATATAATTTGCAGTCCTCCTAATTCAGGATGTGTTTGGTTCCATTGAATCAGAGAAGGTATTGGATAAAAGCATCTAAAAAGTGCCAATTTTAGCATGATAGTAAGGAATGAATGAATAGAATTTCCATAAACAATTTTTTTACCCTGTAGATGATTATAATATTGTAACCTAAGGAAACCTTGATAATTAAATATAATTAGCACATTCTTTATAACTTGACTGAACAGGAGTGATTTATTTAGAAACATTTGTTTTTTCAGTGATATTTTTTGTTTTTTGTCTTTTCAAAAGTTGTTTCTTTGGATACTTGCTTATTAAATTTACTCAGAAAGCCAAGCAATCTATACCTAAGTGTACCAAAAGAGAGAAGCATTCATACTTTTTGGAATCTTATTTTGTTTTTAATTTTAAAGAGATAATGCTTTACGAATTAGTGAATTACAAACTCCATATTTGGAAACATTTTACAGATAACTGATGATCGTAATTATATAACAACAGGACTAAAATTTTTAATGCAAGATGGCTCAAAAAGTTAGAAGGAATATTTTAACACAATAAAGTAATTTAGACCTATTCCCAAAACTTCACATATCCTTATTTCTCAGTCAGAGAAACTACTGCTCACAGTGGCATATAGAAGAACCAACTCTTTTGTTTGTTTGTTTTAGGCCACACTGCTGGTGCTTAGGGCTTACTACTGTCTCTGGACTCAAGGACCAGTACTGCTGGTGCTTAGAGGACCACATGGGGTGCCAGGGATTGAACCTGACTTGGCTGTGTGCAAGGAAAACACTCTACCAGCTGTACTATTGCTCTGACCTGAAGAAACAACTATTAATTTTAAAAACTTGGCTTGAAATTATGGAATAGAAATGATAAGAATCATAATTGATGTCTCTTTTATTTTACTATTTAATATAGAGTTTTGGGAAAAACCACTTCTCTGGGTAATGCTCAATGAAAAATCATTTGGCTCACAGATTTTTACAAGAACTGTCATCACTTAGAAAACACTGATTTATGAAGAGGCACCTACAACTTCCTAACGTTGGAGGTAAAAACATCATGGTGCTATTTATTATCTTGTGGGTTCTTCTTAGCTAAAACTAACATTTATTAAGAATTTATAATGTAAATTTAAGATCATTAACATAGTTTACTAGGACTCAAAATTTTGACAAAAGCAAGTACTTTTACCAGTTCTTGCTTTGAGTATCCATTCATTTTATGCCTTCTAGAGAATTTAGGATCTTGTTTGCTATGGTTCTCTAGGATACTTTAAAGGAAATAATGTCAAATTAATATCATAAGAAAGGTATTATCATAGCTCATGTCTTGTATTTTTAATAACTACTTGTGTTTTACAAATATCACTAAGTTTTATAAATACACAAACATGTTTAATAATTTTCCACTTTTATTTTAAGTGGGATTTCTCTATTGAAAATCATAAGATGACTAAGATCAGAGGATGAGAGAAGGGTGTCTGACATAAAGTATAGGAAGATATTTATTAGATATTTTCTCTAGACATTAAGGAGATGATATATTAGATATTTTCTGGAATATGGTTAGAACTTAGAACTTAAATTCTGAGTTGATTGATATGCCAAGGAAATGGTTGTCCTTTAGTCATCAGTGCACATAAAATTTGAAAAGCAAATGAAGTCTAAATGATAAAATATGCTTAACATTTAATATTCTGTCTCTGTCAACAGCTCCCCTTGACTTTTTCTATAAAGACCTATAGGATGATAAAGCATGGGGAGGAGGAAATAATGGAGAATCTTAACATGATAAAAGAGAAAATAAAGATAAGATACCAGAAATAGGGGAGGAGTACTAAGAGTTGGAAGATAAAGTGTATTTTGGCAGTTAACGGCTTGGGGAGAAGTAGTATGATCTATGAAACAACAAAGAAAAAAGATGTAAAAAAATGCAGAAGTAGTGCTGGAGAGATAGCACAGCGGGTAGGGCGTTTTTCTTGCATGCGGCCGACACGGGTTCGATTCCCAGCATCCCATATGGTCCCCTGAGCACCGCAAGGAGTGACTCCTGAGTGCAGAGCCAGGAGTGGCCCCTGTGCATCGCAAGGTGTGACCCAAAAAGCAAAAAAAAAAATGCAGAAGTAAAACTGGAATCTACGGCTAAAAATTGGGTCCAAACTGGCTTCTCAAACATCAGCTATGTTCTCAGTTCATGACAGAGAAGAATTCTGAGGTAAGTAAATAACTGGATGTTCTCGGACTGAACAAAGTCAGTTACTAATTCAGATCAAAGATTTTTCTTGGGTCTCAAACATTGTCTTAAATAGTATTTCTATTTTTGAAAATAAAATAGAATGGATCTTTAAATAAAACTACTTTTCTATGACAGTTATTTTTTATCAATTTTAATAATCTTGTTTATGCATAAACTTTTTTTAATGTAGGAGTACTGCTATTTATTCAGCCACCGATTAGCTGATTGAATTGGGCATGAACTCCACCTTACTTATTTTTTTTCATAATTTTATTTATTGATTTTTTCTTCTTATATTTATTTATTGAATCACTGTGGGAAAAGTTACTAAGCTTTCAGGTTTAAGTCTCAGTCATACAATGATCAAACACCTTTCCCTTCATCAGTACTCACATTTCACCACCAAGAACCCCAATATACGCCCCCTCCCACCCAACCCAATGCCTGTGAGGCAGATGATTTCTACTTAACTCTTCTCTACATTGATTACATTCATTATTTTGACAAATGCACCATTATTGTCTAGAATTCCCCCCCACCAACAATCAGAATTGCTGAAAAGGCATTGTGAAATACTTGTCTTCTATAGCTGGTTATGAGAATCATATAATGTTGCGTGTCCGCTATCGCAGCCTCATGGATTTTGGATTTCTGCAAAGAGCCAGATAATTACAAGATTGGTTTCTGTGCGTCTGGTACTATGGCTGTGCCGGAGAAACGCTCGTGGGGGACAACTCATGACCTCAGTAGGATGTGAAGGCTGAGCCAGTACTGCCCCCCTTCCTATGAGACTGCAGTTGCTCCATCACTGCTGGCTCATACCTGGGTTTCCTATAAGCTCTGAGGCGGCAGCCACCTTGCT